AAGTTGTTCTCCAGCTATATTTCAGGAAGTCATGAATAATGTAGTTAGTGATCTTGAAGGCGTTGAAGTTTATCAAGATGACCTCATTGTCCATGGTTCTGATAAGGTAGTTCATAACCAGAGACTTATTGCTTTATTGCGTCGTTTAATTGAGAAGAATATTACAGTGAATCCAAATAAGTGTTCATTTTGTGTATCTAATTTCGAATGTCTTGGATACCTAGTTGATGGTAATGGTTTTAGACCAGATATGAAACGACTAGCTCCACTGACAAATGCACCGTCTCCGAAAAACCTTACGGAACTACGTTCACTAGTGGGTGCTCTTCAATACTATTCCCGTTTTATTCCTAATTTTTCTTGTCGTGCAAATTGTTTATTTAATATTTTGACATCCAATTCATTTAAATGGGGTGAGGAACAAGAGTCATGCTTACGTAGTCTACTAAAGTTCCTTCAAAGTGATGCTGTTCTTCGAACTTACTCCCCTAGTGTACAGTCTGTACTTATCACTGATGCATCACCTGTGGGTATTGGCGCAGTTTTGAAACAGGAGGGTAGACCAGTTATTTGTGTTTCACGCAAACTTACTGTTACTGAACAAGGTTATTCACAGACTCAGCGAGAAGCATTAGCTGTGTATTGGGCTGTTAAAAGACTCCATAAATACTTATTCGGAAAGAAATTCACTATTGTTACTGATCATGAGGCTTTAAAATTTATTTATCATCCTGAAAAATCCTTAGCACGTTCCTCAGCTGCTATGGTTCAACGATGGAGTATTGCTTTGAGTGCCTATGACTATACGGTTCAGCATAGGAGTGCCAAACAAATTCAACATGTTGACTACATTTCTCGACAGTCATTACAAGATAAACCTGTAAATACTTCAGACTGTTTGTTAGTGCAACCTTTACCAGTGAAACTTCCAGATCTCATTAGAGAAACTCGTAAATACTTTGGATGTATAATTAATGCTATACGGAAAGGTTGGAATGCTAATTTGAAACGTAGATTTCCTATCTATTTTTCAAAGCGGGATGAGCTATCTACTACTCCTGATGGTATTTTGTGTTTAAATGATAGTGTTGTTATTCCTTCTTCATTGCGTAAATCTGTCCTAGAAGAACTTCATAGTGGACATTTAGGTGTTGAAAAAATGAAGTAATTGGCGAGGCTCACATGTTGGTGGCCAGAGATAAATGCAGATATTGGTCGTACAGCAAACAATTGTGAAAAGTGTCATAAGCTGAAAAATCAGCATTCGAAGTGGACTCCATGGCCAGTGTCGTCTGAGGCCTGGCAGAGAATTCATGCAGACTATTGTGGTCCGTTTCTTGGAAAATACTATGCGCTTGTAGTTATTGATTCTTTTTCAAAGTGGCCTGAAGTTTTCTTCACAACTTCACCAAATTCTGACTTCACAATTCAAGCGTTAAGAAAGGTGTTTAGTCGAGAAGGGGTTCCAATGGTGTTAGTAACTGATAACGGCTCTCATTTTGCTGCAGATGCAGTCACTACCTGGTTAAATGGTATAGGGTGCAAACATCTGTTTACTGCTCCCAGACATCCTTGTTCCAATGGTCAGGCAGAAAATTTTGTCAGGACGTTAAAAACTGCCATTGATTCTATTGCTGCCTCAACATTTAATGAGCTGGAGAGGGGAGTAGATACCTTTCTACTGCAATATAGAAATGTCAGACATTCGGTGACGAAAGAGACTCCATCAAAACTATTAAAAGGAAGAACTCTTCGGTCGAATATGAGATGTTTGGAGTCTGCAGAAGTTACGTATTATCGTGGCAATGATCTTCGACCATCCACGGGGATCGTTCTGAAGAATGTCGGGAAATCTATGGTGCGACTTCTAGATATCAATGACTTAAGTACACACAATCGACATGTTGATCAAATACAATTGCAGCAACCAGGTGAGTCTGTTCCGATTTCAGTTGTTAATTCTAATACTACTGAGTGCATTCTAGATAATACAGAGTCTTTATCCAATACATTGTCGGACAGACACAGCATGAACTTGAGGAGAAGACGTACAATTGATTACAGACACTCAGACTCTAATTTAAGCTGTGGCGGATGTGGTGTTTGAATGAACTAATGACTCCTTTGTACTTGTTGAATGTTTGATTTCGAATTCTAAATACATTAAATTCGTTATTGTTTGTGTAGTACTTCTTGATTCCATTGCGTTATCCCTGGGATTATTAGTTCATACTATAATTCAATTACTTCTAATTATCATAATTGGATAAAGACTCTGTATTATCTAGGATGCACTCATTAGTATTAGAATTAACAACCGAAATCGGAACAGACTCACTTGATTTCTGGGATTGTGAACAATCACCATGCCGGTTGAATACTGAAACTACTACCTAGGATATGAACCATAGACTATCCTCCCCCACGAAATAATGTCGGATCTTCATATCCCCAAGTTATGAATAATGTGGCTTCATTCGAAACATCTTTCTCAATTTGACTAGAGTAAACATTGGAAGTGAATTTATGATAAGGACAAACAACAATTGATATGGAATTATCTGAATTGTAATCAAACTCTAACTCATTTAATACTCGTGCTTCGCATCGAACAAGTTTCTCACAAGAAACAAATGCATCATGAGGACAAATAATATTTGATATGACATCAAGATTTGATTCTTCTGAAATAGTTTCCTCAAATTTATTAAGGATATGATTGCAGAATAAAGGATCATTAGAAAAATCAGCATCAATTAAAAGTACACCAGTTTTTCGATCATGATTAGGTTCATCCAAAATATCTTCACCAGATTTGTACAAAAATTTTCATTAGAAATATGTGAATCATTAGGAAAAATCATATCTGGTACAATAACATGAGAAATCTGATAGGTTGATTGATTAGGAGTTGTTGTCTTGGAAGGATTCTGAGTTTCATTTAACTCTGAACTGCTATACGACTCTAAATTGTCTTTTGAAATCATTGATAAAGATGAATGATCATTATAAATACTCAACTTAATATAATCAGAATTACAAGACTTAATATTGGTTGCAGCAAGATGAACAGTAACATCACAAACTGACTGAATATGTCCAACATCACCACATTTAAAGCACTTATAATTATAAAATTTACATTAATTAAAAGAGTGGAACTTGCCAGAGGACAAACATTGACCAAACTTGTGCCCATTTTCGTGAATTGCATTGCAACTCCTCAATGAATTATCTACATAACCTTGAGTATGCACTGGGTTGGGATGACGCAATGTAGTGGAATTGTTTATATCCTCATGAATCATTTTACGAAATCTTCCTCCTTTAACACATTCGGAATTTGTGTACTTAACATAATCTAACAGTAATTCCTTGAGAGTTGCATAAGGAAGCGAAATGGGCCTTTTCGGTAAAGCCAGAATTTTTAATAAGCTACCTGCTTCTTTTCCGATGAATGTGAGGAAATAGGCTACACTATTAACATCCTCATCATCTTCCTTGGTCATAGCCCATATTTCGAACCTTTCAAAGTAATCCTCATAAGCATCAAAATCCGAATGAATATCTAGCTGTTCTATCGCAGGCTCAGTGGCGACGCCAATGTGATAATTAGGAGTAATTGAATTATAGTATGTACTAAGAATCCCAGAAATAACGCAATTGAATCAAGAAGTAATACACAAGCACTAAGCAATGTATTGTATTTAGAATTCGAAATCAAGCATTCAACACGTATAAAGGAAACATTGGTTCATTCAAACATCACAAAATGTCAGGGATAAAAAGCGAATAAGTGACAGGATAAAAATGTGAATGGAGAAGAATGAATAGAGTGGTCTGTTCAGAGGCCAGAATATAGTATCAGCCCCTTGAATACTTCTTGTGAAATCATAAATGCTGTCGTCCTTGTGTCGACGTCTGTGGTAAAGATAATAAACGATAACACAAATTTCGAAATTATGTAATAAATAAAAGCTTTATCTTACTTGGTTTGTTATCGAGATATGGAGAGCTATAAAAAATTAGGGTGTTGGTTTAGGGCTTTAAAATGACCTGGAGAAATTGTCTGACTTGTCTCAAATTTGACAGTTGCAGAAACATGCTTCCATGTGAATTGTGAAGCATACTGGTCATCAAGGCACAAATATATATACGCGGTGAAGAACACTGAATCACATGTTGTTCAGATACAAAATTACCCAGGAGCCATCATTAGCCAAGACTTAAAAACCATTGCACATTACCGCGCGATAGCGATCAAAAGTTTCAGAGCCTTATGATCAATACCTAGGGCCTTTAATCCTTGTCGATGCTAGAACCTTTTTGACTTTGTAAACAGTGTCGGAAAATATTCAAAGTATTGCAGCTAAACCGATTCTAGGGTTAGCTAAGTTTTCGCATGATGTTTGACTGGCTAAACTCAACCTAATTCCATGGTCATATAGAAGAACCAGAGGCGACCTGATCACAGATTTTAATTGCTTAATGATAAATTTGCATTTGATATGCTCTCATCCTTTTTGTCATCCAAAACAGAAAATGCGTGAGAACACTAAAAATACTCACAAGCTCGGAACAAATTACTTGTCAGTTGACTATCGACTTTCCCATCGAATCATCAACGAATGGAATTCATACTTCAATAAATGATTGAATCTTCATTTGTCGACGCCTTCGAAAAATTGAGTCAACTGAGGGACCATCATTTCTGGGACTAACACAAGCCACCCAGCCTCCTGTCCTCTCCAAAGTGAGAGTGAAATTCCCAGGGACGTAGAAATCATTTAAAATTCCAGCATTTAAATGCTGATTGAATACACTAAGTTTTGTATCATCCATTTTCATTCAAAAAGTAAGTGACTTTTATTCTCATTCCTAATTAGTAGTCTTATACATGCAATCAGAAGTTTACGAGAAGATACTTTATTCTAATATATTTGAAGGTCAAGAGACCGTTCAAAGTGTACGCTATCTCTTATCACTAACAAGGTCGGGTTATGGCCTTACGAACTTTTGGCGCCGTACCACTCAAGGTAGCTATATTTAATGTGTTTTATTGTCACAGTTATTGTGTAGGTCAGATGGGAGTCTTTTTAGAAACTTCGGACGTCAATCATCACACCTCTTTGTAGTGAGTTGTACTTTATTTTTGTGTATTCCGATCTTAGCACAGAGAAACCCCTGAAAACAATTCTAATACAACCTTCGAATTTTCTGCAGAAAACAAAAAGAGACTGGATGTGATAATATCAAACTACCCACCTGCTCACAAGGCTGCTGCTATAATTCCTGCTTTGGATTTAGCTCAGCGACAACACGGTATTAATGACCGAATTGAATTAGTAACAACTTTATTTAGGATGGCTGCCAATATCCGCTATGAACAAAGTGGCAGAGATTCTTAATGTCCCCCAAATGAGGGTTTATGAAGTTGCCACATTCTATACCATGTTTAACAGGTTAGCAGTGGGATCAAATATTATTCAGATTTGTGTAGTAAGGACAGAAGACCTACGTCCTATGTTATTCCTTCTCTAGTATGCTTCTGTGAGTATCTACTCTTCCTTTGGATGAGTCGATTAAAGGTGTGCACAAGTTCCAAGAATTGATGACGGTGTAAAACCTGTATCCCACGGGTATTTTGTTCGTCCTTGGCTTTTCTATTCACATGCTAAGTTCTCTGAAATGTCCCGATCTAGTGGAAAAAGAGAGGATTCGTTAGGTCTGAAATCATTTCTTAGTATTCTACACATCAAAATCAGATCACCTCTTAATGTGCGATAGGACAGAGTAAAGGGTTCTAGCTTTTCAAGCCGCTCTTTTATAGCGATCTTATTGTAGACTCTAATCAAAGTATCAGATTTGCTCCAATAATTCTAATATGACTGTGAAACACTACCCACATCCTAACCTGTAAAATTTTCAAGACATACTTTTCTGTATATCTTACACTTTACCTCTTGACGACGCTGTATATAATAAATTAATGCAATTAAACCCGTGCTTAAATCTTCAAAGACTAGAAGGAAGTCTGTAAGAATGTGTAACTCGATAATCAACATAGTAAAGCCACAACCACACCCCTTCCACAAATATTACTTGACGTTTTACAATGAATTCCCATTGTTTTGTGTGTTCCCGATTCACTCAGTGTCAAAATATTCACTTAGTACTTCATCTAGGAACACTAGTTTACCTGTATTGCTCGGTAATTTAACGTGCTTATCTGTGGCAATGTGACATGAAACCTACATACTACTGCTTATACTGTTGCTAATTTTACAACTCTGACGTGTCATTATTTCATCTCACTGTACTGATGTGGCATGGAAACATAAATCAATACCGATATGTGCCAGGTCCCAAATTTTTTGTGACTGACTGATCTAAACTCAAAATAGACTTGTTGCACACTAAGTAATGTAGTTTAGAAATATGTTGACGAGTTTTCTTCCTCATTTTCAGGGAACCAGTCGGAAAGTATCACATTCAAATATGTACCACAACCCCTTGTATGCTAGGAGGTGTGGGGTCAGAAGTTATTTTAAACGCACTCAAGAAAAAACTTGGTATGTCGTCATTATATTTCGTAACATTTACCTATAAATTCTTTAATATATCGTTCCTACCAACATTGGCGTGTAAATTGTGCTTAAGATTGTTACCTATTTCTTGGGAAATCAGTCCATTTCAAAGGATGTATTTTTTGATAACAGTTAAACAAGTATAGGAATCCTAATAACATACTATACCGTCAGAATTCGAAGGTAGGGTGTTTATAAAACACTTGTTCTTTGGTAAATGGGGTATTGTCAATCTATTGGAATTGTTTATGATGTGGATTATGAACGTTGACTTATATAAGCACTTATGTAGTTGTCCTTTTGTACTCCTTTAAGTCCAGTTTAACATTTGTACTGGACTCCTACCGTGAATTATAATATCGACAACAGGAATCAACATTCGATTTACCTCATCTACGTATTTTTCTGAAATGCTTTTGTTTAGTAAACCGACAGTACATGCACATTACAATCAAGCCTCAATAAGCAAGTTAGTTTCCCAAAGAAAAACCGGATCGCTTTTAAATTATAGTGCACAATACTCAATTGTAATCTGTACTTTTACACTTAAACTAATATTTTTCTCGGTTTTATAGGTATTGAACCGGGTCAGACCACACCTGATAAAATGTTTACACTGACAGAAGTGGAATGCCTTGGAGCTTGTGTAAATGCGCCCATGATGCAAATTAATGATGATTATTATGTAAGTTTTTAATGTCGTTTTTCAAGGCAGATTTTTGCAATATCGAAGGCTATTGTTAAGAAAAAAAATAATTATGTATAATTCATCTGGTTTCCTTTAAAAATCAAGTATTTTAGATAACGGAGTTAAATTTTTGTGGCATCAGTTAAGTCAACAATACTGAATCGTCGACCTCTAGAATATATAAATTTGAACAACTAATGTTAAAAAATTAGGGTTAGCACTAGCTGTGTCGAGTAGATTACTTTGTGGTCTACGCTCATCTTTAAAAATTCTCTTATTAACACAAAACCGTAAGTCCACATAGTTGATAACAAGTCGGAGTTCTATTCATACATAAAATTTCATTTCTAATTGTTCAAGGTACTGTTGAGGAAATATTATATCTTGTTTTGATGCTTGTCAAGCCATTAGCAAGACTTTGAGTACACTAGTGGTCTCGTAAATATTTGAACATTTGTTATTCACTGGCAAAGTCAGTCTACTAATTTGTGAGATAATCTTTCTTTTGTGTATGATTTCGAAATTATTTAAAATGGACTTCTAATTGTAGCCCACTCTCTTATATATTATCTTGTAGGAGGATTTAACAGCAGAGGATACAATTCGTATCCTTGAGGAAATAAAAGCTGGGAAAAAGCCAAAACCTGGTCCGCAGTAAGTTTTAAATTATATTTTATGGACGTTTATTATTTAATCACTACTTTGATTTTCTGTCTGAGAATTACTGATTTCTTTCACATAAGTCACACTATCAAAGTCGTGTTAAATTTGTAATCCTTTATTGCCTTCCTCGCCCCCAATTGCCCTGGTACGCCCGAGAGTGGGGAGAGTCCGCTCTCCCTCTCCAAATGCTCTCACATGGTCACGCGTATATAGCCTCTGCCAGGGAAGTCCTACTCACTGCCTTCACGTGGCACAGGTGTTGTTTACGAAAATGAGAGGACGGGAAGCGAATGTCCGGCGCTTTAACCGGACCCCAAACCAATGGTGCACATGGGCTCCAGTATCCTGAGGGGACGAATGGCGTATGAACCGATCTTTGGTCACCGGCTACCATGGGACTGCATCTCCTTACGATGCTCCACTGCCTTGTGGGTCAGACGTTCAGGTCGAAGGCTCGGGGTGTGGCCCCCTAAGAAAACCACCTGCTTCGGTTTGGGCACCCGAGCAGTATCACAGCCCTCATAAATTAAATGAGATTTGTGTGGCGCATATGTATTTGGTGCCTCCTTTTACCAATATCTATATGTTAAAAATAAATAAATCCAACACTAAAGACTCCAAATTATACCTGTCTTACTATTTTGGTTGCATGATTCAAAATCCATGTAAAATAGTACTTATTATCATCTCTGTATTCGCTTCAAAATGCTAGTGAAATTGGTTTCTATATACTTCAAGTTATTGTTGTTCTTTCTTTATTGATCGTCTAATTGAACTAAATGGAAAGTAGTCGACAGTAAGATGAGATCTAATTACCCCCTTTTTGAATACGTCTATATACATCCATTTCTATACATGACAGATTTGTACTGAAGCCAGGGTCTTTGTGTATGATAATTTTAATATTCGCAGATTAACCTAACATAAACGATCTGACTATCATGCTTAAATTTATAATCAAATGGATACTTGAATTTTTCCTAACTTATCTTCATTTTAGAAGCGGACAAGGTGGACGTTTTGCATCCGAACCGAAAGGTGGTTTGACATCACTGAATACAGAACCTAAAGGTCCTGGATTTAAAGTTCGTTCGGACCTATGACCTCTTTAGTTCATTATTAATTGAGTTTGTTATCAGTATACATAGTGAAGTATTTCTTTCTTTGCCTAATAAATTGCCAACTTTGAAATTTATTTCACTTTTATCATCTGGGTACTAAATTCAGGAAAACTATTCTGTTCATACACTTCATGTGACTAGTGATACTACTCATTCTGACCCTCAATCCTAAAAGTGTAGCTCAAAGCCAAGTACAAAAATCTGTAGCTGGTGATTAGTAAGAAAAATTCCTAGTAATTTACACCAAATGTAAATATCCAGTCATTTATTATTGTCGCAGATTATGGTAATCAAGAGTCCGGTTGGGATCTTGGCAATATGAAGTCGCAGTAATTCGTGAGATCAAGCGACAATTGGCATTGTAGATCTATTACAGGAAATATAAGTTATAGGAAGTTTGTATTTCTATTTCTAAATACAGTAGCTGACATAAATATAAAATCTATGAAACAGGAAATATTGTACTAAATTCACCAAAATAGTGATTTTTCCAGGAAATCTGATAGCCAACTAATAGGACCTTTAGAAGGATTGGAACTGCTTGGAGCATCCATTAATTTCGGAGCAGCTCTTGTTTCATCAACCTCGAAAAGATCAGCATCATCTTCTAAATAAGGTGGGGTTTCAGTATTTCGCGAGTTTTGTCTATATTTTAAACCGTTGAATGAACTGTGTCTGCATAAGGAATGCCTGGAATCAATATGTATAACATAAGATCAAACATTGACTTCTATGAAAAATGAAAGGTAAAAACATAGTTAAAAACAGCTTCTTTAAGCGTATTCTAGGTAGATAAATAAAAACTTTCGTCTAAATTTGATCGAAGTTTCACAGTATTTGGGCGCCGAGTTAATGTGAGACATTAAAGAGGAAAAATGTATTTTAAAATTCATTCGCTGAGATTTTACAAATACATTTTTCCTCTTTAATGTATTCTAGGTAAGTACTAAAGATAAACCATCTGCATACGAGTATTAAATAGATGTACATTAAAGTTAAGATGGGATTAGATGTATTGTAGTGTCTAGCACTATGTCAATCCCACGAGTGATTTTAGTTTCCAGATAGATCAATTTATTTATCCATCTTTTGACTCTGTCAACTACTCGCTTACTACCCTTGATTGTTTTTATACGAGCGTATGCTTATCCTAGTCGTCAAATGTCTAGCTATCAATACTGAGTCACGTTCCTTCAAATGGAATTGACATATTTGCCTTCTCATGTTCGCTCCGTGTCCCTTATTGTCTATCTGGATCGACGCGTGTGTGAAATATACGTAACCAGAATTCACTCTTGTATGGCTTATTTTATTGTTATTCACGAACGTGAATTAAGTCGAAAATTATATATGACAGTTGGGGCATGTACATTTGCTAACCTTCCTTCACTGCCTTGTTGTAGATTAGGCTTCTTGGTGAAAGGCTTGGAGAGTAGCCCTTTTACGGAACTATATGCTTTCGTTTAGGTATTTGAGAAGTATTCTAGCGCACACACAGAAATCTTGTGTAGCGCATACAAATTTTTGTACCCAGTTGAACCAAACCTTATGTAGATTAAATACATGGAATGGTTTATTTATTTATTTATTTGAACACATAAATATTGGTACAAGGGGGGCACCAAATATATATGCGCCACACAAAACAATGATAATTTGAAGAGAAGGAGAAAAGAGAAAAGAAAAAAAAGTAATGAACGTGGGGAATTATAAAAAAAGGGAGAGAGACAGAACAATGGTGGGGGAAACGGAAAGGTACAGTCAGAAGAGATCTTTCAGTAAGGAAGATACAACCACTTTTTATGAAGAAAGTAAAAGAAGGTTACAGCAGGATCGCCATTGGCTTCTATTCTGAGCCATATCTAATAACGTCTCTAGCCACTGCGTTACACCGTCTCTCGGACCCCAACCAGGGAGTCGTGAAGGACCAACAGAAGCTAGCCCTTTGCAGCTTTCTTTCATACCACGACACCATGTCATATACTGACCACCTCTCCGCTTTTTCCAACCAGTCCCAGAGTCGGCAAATAATGCACGACGTGGAATTCTCTGGGACGACATTCGTAGAACATGTCCAAGCCACCGAAGTCGGTGTTTCAAGATGGTGACACCGATTTCATTATCGTCTCTGTGACCGAACACTCGATGCCGAACCTCTGCATTACTGACATGGTGTTGCCACTGGATGCCAGCAATCCTTCGGAGATAACGATGATCGAACACAGAGAGTCGTGTAACATCCTCAACTCGGAGAGGCCAGGTTTCACAAGCATTGAGCAAAACCGCTCTCACTGTCGCGTTGTAGATCCGACCTTTTACAGCCAGACTAACATCACGAAGGCGCCAAAGATGGCCCAGATTGGCATAAGCCGCTCTGGCTTTCACTATACGTGCATTGATCAAATCACTCACGCCACCACCAGCACTTATGCAGCTACCTAGATACACGAACTTCTCGACTACTTTTATCTGCTCACCATCCAGAGTGAGTACAGGATTAGAATCCTGCCAGTCTTGTAGAAGAACTTTGCACTTCGAAGGTGCAAAGCACACACCATACCTCCGGACATTGATTGCCAACTGATTAAGTGCGGATTACATGGCTTGGGCATTCTCGCACAGTAAGACAATATCATCCGCATACTCAAGGTCGAGAAGTCTTTCTCCAGGCAACAGATCCACACCACCATTACTTACATCCGTCAGAGCTGTTTCCAGAATGTCATCGATGGCAAAGTTGAAGAGGAATGGTGAGATTGGGCAACCCTGCCTAACCCCACTGCTCGAATGGAATAGTGGAGAAAGGTGATTGTATGCCCTCAATCTGCCTGAGGTGTTTGTGTATAGGGCTTTTAGGATGTTAATAAACTTCTCAGGCACACCCTTCTTCAATAGACAATCCCAGAGAACAGTTCTGTCCAACGAATCGAAGGCAGCCCTGATATCAAGAAACACTACGATTGTTGGCTACCGAAATGGAAATGATTGGTTGAAGTTCTAAATTAACACCGGTGGATGCCGACTCAGCGGTACGCGTTCACGAGAGACCGAATGTTTTGATTTGGAGTCTCGCGTGCGGGATAGTGAGAGAGCAGTGCTTAGGAATACTATATTAGGACGAAACGGCCGTTCAATGCTTCCAGATTTTCAATGGTGATTTAACTTAGATAAGTTCAAGATTTCAAGTAAATTAATAAGATGGACTCGAAAAGTTTACGCTGAAACTGGTTTATTATATTGTACAAATAGCTGAACTATTTCACACATCTTAACACGTGATGGTGGATGAAATAGTACATAGATATTTTGCTTTATTATTGTTCATACTGTTTATCAACGTAGCATAGAATTTAGTATAGACAAATGTACAAGATGTTACCAACAAAGGTACGTTGATGTATGGTCACTTATGAATATGGTGCTGATGCTATTATGAAACCTTAGAGCTAGTAGTATGAAATCTAACAGAATTAGGTGAAAATTTACTTATTGTGGTCTGTTTAGCTAAGTTATATGATTAATTCACATACGATAAGAACATATTTAATTTCGTAAACAATGGATATTAAAATAAATTAGTGGTTATAAAAGTTCCGATAAAAATTTCACTTACGCTCTATGTTTTTTCTTGACAATCTGGGCTGTGATTGTGGGACGGGTCGAATCTGTTTTACACGTACCATCTGACTGACCTGGGATGTCTTTTACTGAAGATACTGCATGTATAAGGCATTCGGGATCTAACGAAGGTACCGTACAAACAAGAACGCGATGTTTCTGCAGCTGAAATGTAATACTAACTACGCCGCGAATTTTCAAGAGCTTTGAACATACTATTTCAATATCATCCTATTAAATAAGATATGAGAATCACGTAAGAAATCTTAACAGAACAAGCATAAAGCATGCACTTTAATTTATTTACACAACACTCTCATTTCAAGTATAACCACCTAGGACTAATAAAATGTATGAAAAACAATATTTCATTTTGATTTCTCGTAGTGTTTTTGAAATAAGGCTAACGAGACATAACTACAAAATGTGATTAGCACAACAAACTTGACATATGGTTGAAATATTCAGAGGAGCTATATAATTTATTATACCTTGAATTTCAGGTCAACATCTTGTTTAGATGCTCCTTTATTGAGATGTCTAAAATAAAACACCAGTTTGTTAGTTTAATCCGCTTTAAATTGTACGTCTATATACACCACAATTTTCAAGAACATATGTGGACACATAAGTCTGTTCTTCTAAGACATTAACGTTATTCACGTGCTGAAGGTTTTAAGTAAAGCCCGCTTGTTAAAACTAGCTCATGCTAACTGCCTCATAATTCCCCCTCATCTGTTCCAAATTTTTCCTGATTGTGATGACAAACAAATACAAACAAGGCAATTGAAAACAATCATACAGAACAAAGTTGCTCAAGAGGTGAAACAGCTAAAATATAGGATTATATGAACAATTGTAGAGGACAAAATTTAGAGAAAAGCTGAAAGAGTGAAGATAGGGAAAATGGGAATCACATATTACTAAGACTAAGCATATGAAAAACGAACTGTTTACGCGACTTCGATTGATTTTGGGAAAATCCTGGACTTGCACAACTGATTAGTTATTTTGTTGACATTAACCAACAACAATGGACTTTTATGAACCTAAAACCAGTAAATCTACTGAATGACATTCTTCTTCGAATTTAGTTACATTGATTCTTTTCAATCCTTAAGGTCGTGACCAAATAACGCAAATATCCGTCTCTTAGGTAATGGGTTTGAATTACAGTTGTACAGTTGGCAACTACTTTCAGATAATTGTGTCCCAGTGCCAGATATAAGGATATGGCCAGTTATTGAGTTACACTAACGCTTTCCCGACGTATTTTATTATCCAGACTCGTACCGGAGCAAACAGGAACCTATAGTTTGGAATTTATTCCCTTTTTAAATCTGAAGACATATTTATTAACAGAA